TGTGATACTCTCGAGCTTGTAGAAATCCATTTCCAGGCGTATATCCATTTCTTTGTTGCTCCTACGCCCATGATATGATGAGACCAAGGCTAGCTCCTCAACCCCGCTACGACCGCGTACCTGCGTCAGCGACCGCTCCGAACAGCAACAACCACAACAACAATCGACGCCCAACAAGATGCCCTTCCCCTTCATCCTGCCAACGACTTCCAGCATATCCTTCACCGACTATTTCAACAGCAGCACACATCCATCCCTGCCAAACTGCGCAACCACTGCGCGAGGCGTCCTTCGTGACGTGCTCAAGCGACACAAGCGCATACCTCCTGCCTCACAAGCCTCGAACCTCTCGACGGTAACATCCGCCCTCAACGATTACATACCGTACCTGTTCGCCCTCGATGCGGGTCTGAGCGGTGCAAGCTGCGCGGGAGAAGAGATCGACCTGATCTTGGTCAAAGAGCTCGAGGTGGAATGGCGCTCGACACTGGGATCCTCAATACCGGGCCGCGAACCTGCAAGAGTAAAGCTCAAGAGCCTTGAAAGCGAGTTATGCTACACACTCTCCACATTGGCATACGTATACAGCCTCCAGGCTCGAGCACAACTACATACGCTCTACAACGCGACCGTACCCTCGCCCGAACAACGCGCGACGGCCATTGGTGCTGCTATGAAGCACTTTCTTGAAGCCAACTCTATACATACATACTTGGTGAACCGATCAGGCCAGTATAATTCACAGCCTGCCGCCATAGACATATCGGCATCCGTGCTGGGAGCGTTGGCGGAGCTGACCATGGCTGAAGCTACACTTATTACGGTGCTGAAAGATGACCCGTACCCAGCTGTGGTGATAGAAGACAGGAACAAGCAAAGTAAAGACTGGATGTTTAGAGGGTCCGATATACCCAAGGTCCGCGCCCATCTCTTCGCGCGACTGTGCCTTGCGTCGTCCGAACACGCTGCCAAAGCTCAAGCTATGATGGGACGGTCTTCCAAGGTCAACGACGACCTGCTGAAATACGTGGATGATTTGCGACGCACGGCAAAGGGTAAGGCCTGTCGGTTCCTTGCCTGTGATGCTGAAGCGGGTGGTAAAACAGGAGAGGGCATTGCGTGGCTACGGGGCGCAAAGAAGGAGCTTGGCTTTGCCTCGCTAGGTGCCGAGGAAGAGAAGAAGTCGTCTGGTTTCTCCAAACTAAAAAAGGAGTGGCAAGAGAAGAGAGAAGATCGTAAGATTGAAAAGGGTGTAGACTGGGGTACTGATGCCGGCAAATTCGAAGAGGGTCGGATTGTTGACATGTTGCTGAAGAAGTGGGAAAAGCAAAACGACACTGTATGTCTACTTGCTCCTTGTTTCGTCATGAAGTGTGGCTGACGATAATAGGTTGGCGTCCAACTGGTGCCTCCCTCGGAACCGTTACTCGCAAGCATGCCTTCTGGGCGCGAGTATCACACAACGAAGATGTTCATTGTACCAGCGTTAGACGAGGACGCTTTGGTTCGCATGCGGGCGCCTCCAGACTCGAGCGAGCCTTTCGAAGGCGCTGAAGATGATAGCGCGGACGAGGACGAACGCAGTCCTCCCGCTGGCGCTTTTCCAGGTACAAAAGCGGACTATGCACCAGGATCCGCCTACTACTGAGTCATGGAGACATCTAATGCGAACGATATGATTGATGAGTTGCGCCAACCAGGTTGCGTCAGCTTGTCTGCCTACGTGATTGATTCATGTCCCATACCCAAGATCTCTCCAAAACGCCTCAACTTCACCCGAAACGTCCCTCTGCACTCTGCCTTTTTCCCATACATTGTCTGATTTGTTCAACATCTCGCTCCATTCATTCAACAGATCTCCCCTCTTTCCACGCCCAGCAAAGTGGACCAGATAATCGCCTCTTCTTACATGACGTTCGTCCAACCCTTCCACGTCCTCTCTCTCTTCGAACTTTTGTGCTCCGCCTTCTTCGTACCCATTGAACCACTGTTGTGGTACGAAGCGCGCTCCATCTCTGAACTGGTCGGTCTGTAGGACGTGTTCCATGGCAGATTGTTCGGTGAAGGGGAGGTCGACGCCGGGATTGTAGTGGCGGAAGGCAAGAATGGCTGTGAAGAGTTCAATCGCCCAACTGTTGACACGAAGTAGAAAGATACCGTTGTTGAGACCGTTCCAGTCCTTGGTCACAAGCATATGCGTTGTGTTCGCCGGAGTCTGTAGTTGCTCATCGTCGCGGCGCCACCACGAACCAAAGCGTGCTTTCTCTGGTGGCAGGAAGCTCGATATAGGGCGGCATTGGTCGAGAATGATGGTGTCTCGATCAACCCATTGAATCCACTCCAGACGTTCTTTGGCTGGTTTCAACATCTCGCGCATGCTAAGCGTGGGTGTACAAAGTCAATACATGTCTCACAAGCAGTTCGTTCAGGGACACTTACAGCAGGTTGAGTATGAAGGCCGGTTTGTTCCACAGGTCATCTACAATTGGATCGCACATCACTCTGACCTCGGTTCCGTGGACCAAGGCGTGGAGGAGGTGTGTCCGGAACGCTTTCTGGTAATACTCCTTCGATTTGCCGAAATGAGCTGTGACGGTTGCGATGCGCGCCCTTCCGGTTGCAAAAGGGGAGTATTTTCGACACGTAGCACGCTTTGTGGTAGCCTCTTCAATGAGCTCTGGTGAAACTTCTGGTAAACACTTCGAGTCACCGTGTGCAACGAACTGCGGAATGAGCTTCGGATGTGGTCGGGCATACTGGACAGAAAGGTTTTCTAGACTGGACTGATTCCAGAGAAGGATAAAGGGGAAGCCGATGAGGAGGAATGATACCCAAACGAAAAACTTGCAGTTGAGGAATCTCGGGGGAGCATACATGGCCTCGGAATGAATAGAAGTAGAAGTCAAAGGAAAGCTGCTGTATTCCTTGTTTGGAAATCGTGACGTTTTACTGCTATTGGATGCCAGCTTGGGTAAATAAGAAGGGGTAGAGAAGGGACGTGATCGATGTTATCCAAGACACTGGTAATAGAACAAGCAACAGTGGGTGACGAATACTGCGGAAATAATCTCTTGGAAGCCAGAGAAGCCGTCGTATGTTACAGTGTACTCGCACGCCTGGGGGAATCAGGTTGGGAGCCGACCTGGTATGGCGGCATTGGCATCTTCATCCCAAGAGCTTCGTTGTGCTTGTCTCAAGCACAGAGGCGCTAGCTTTGACTATGTTTGTCGATTACGCTGCTAGTAGCCTATAGTTCTCCATGAGTGCATAATCGAGGCTTAGACTATGAACGAGGAATGGACGGACTTTGCATCTGATGTGGTGGTTGCAATAGATACACGGCTCACCCACGGACATTGCAGAATTGACGCGAATACGCGAACCTCGCACATGGCAGTCGTCTAGATGGTGTATAGCAAGCTGCTCATATTGGCAAAAGTCGATGATATGTTCCCGAAGCTGACGAGCTCATTGCGATACGTGTTTCTGCTCGGGGAGATACCTTGGCCTCTCGTCAGTCTTGGCTTACCTGGCATCAGCGCCGCTGCTCCGAAGTATGTACGGAGCTGAAACAAGCCAAAGCCTCCATGACAGTAAATCGTACTTATTTTGAGGCTGATGGTGTGTGTAATGGATCGAAGCGTCTTGACTGTCTTGGTATACATACGTAGGCAGTCCAAGGATACATGAAGTATCCTCGTTTTCCAACACCGTTGTGTCTGGGTACCCACGGACACGTCGAGCCCGTGCATGAGCGGCAGATGGTAATGGAAGTTCTAATTCTGTTGACGCTTTGTAGTGGCACGACTGCCGTGATGTCTTGGAACATTCCGGAGCGTCCGGATAGTGTGTTGAGGTAGATGGACGTGTCTTCGGCGTGAAAGACAGCCGGGGTCCTCAGCAAGGAACGCATGCAGAAGCCATCACAGCAGCACACAACAGGTCCACGACCCATGTTATGTTGTTACATAGTATAGAGACAAAAAGGGGATCGTTCTTCCACTGCCTGTCCCCATCCACGTAGCTGTGAGGCTAGCACCAGAAAGTAAAAAAGGCAAAAAAGAACAATGCTCTCCAGCGGGTTGCCAGTCATGGTGACAAGCGGAAATACTGACCACTATGTCACTGTGCTGTCTGCCATTAAATCTGCCAAATTTTCTGTTCTGGATTACTAAAACCTGCTAAATTTCCTACTCTGGTTCAGTAGCTTAACTTATGGTTTCTGTTCTTACTTGTACTTATATTAGCCTAATTATAATGACCAATCAGTTGATGTTTCACTCCCTTGTATGTTGAGTGTCTTGGCGTGTTGGTGGCGCTTATCGCCTTAAAGCAGCATCGCAATGTTTAACCATAAGTGATAACTAACTAACTTAGTATTATTGTAAGCCCATTTTCTGAGGTTCTGAAGTTTGTGACTTCCCCTTGCTACCACAGCATACGCCATGGACCTTTCTTAGCGTCCGCTTTCAGCAAAACACGTAATGTTTTATGCTGCATGTCTACCCTACCATAAGAACAGTTCAGCTATCGAATAATCATATTTTAAGCTCGGTTATCGCAAAGGGGCTAAACGCCGCTTGGTGGGATCTCGGTGCGTGATCATGAAACCAGATGTTGCATTGAGGCGTTGTTGGACTGCCTATCTGGGCGACGCTCAGGCCAATGGGAGAGCATATTCCTCCTATCCGTATCTAGATATAAACCCTCCAATGGATAGCTAGTCGCTCCCATCGAATAAAAACCTGTGATATCCTCCGCCTCCCTAGACTTACCTTGCTTTCAGTTAGTCACTTTACCTCGAAGGCCAACGCATAGCGAACTCGATTTGTAGCAAATTAGCGCTATCTCGCTTTAAGGTGTGATCCTTTGGTGTGTTCGCGTACTGTGTCCACTGCATAGTCGCTGATACTAGTCGTTGAGTTAATATTTCTACTAGACAGTCGAGTTGCGCGACTAAGGTTTAGCCCCACTACCATAGTTGAGCTCTACACGAAGCAATGCGTCTTTTGCAACGCTATGACACTGGTAAGATTGCTCTTACTCAGTTTAGCGATGAGGATGTTCCTCCATATGCGATACTTTCGCATACTTGGGGAGCGGATGCCGCAGAAGTCACCTTTGAAGACCTAATGAATGGCACTGGCAAGGATAAGCTTGGCTACAAGAAGATCTGGTTCTGTGCAGAACAAACAAATCTGGATGGCTTGCAGTATTTTTGGATTGACACCTGTTGCATTGACAAGAGAAGCAGCACAGAGCTATCCGAAGCAATCAACTCAATGTATCGTTGGTACCAAGATGCCATAGTATGCTACGCGTATCTTGCCGATGTGCCATCCAAAACCGAACTTCCTGGCAGCAGGTGGTTCTCCAGAGGATGGACTCTTCAGGAGTTACTCGCACCATCAGAAGTAATATTTTTTGATGAGGAATGGAAGAATCTAGGGACTAGAACAACCATTCAAAAAAGCGTCTCCAGCTGTACCGGCATTCCTGAAGGTATCCTCACTGGAAGCGATGACCTTGGAAAGGCAAGCATTGCGCAAAGAATGTCATGGGCCGCAAGAAGGGAAACAAAAAGGCTCGAAGATCGTGCCTATTGCTTGATGGGCATATTTGGTATCAATATGCCATTGCTCTACGGAGAGGGAGAAAGAGCTTTCCTCAGACTTCAAGAAGAAATCATGAAGATTTCAGATGATCACAGTCTCTTTGCATGGAGATCCTCTGACAATCGCGGGGGACTTCTAGCCACCTCTGCAGCCTCATTTAAGGACTCCCGCAACATCGTTCAATCAACTTCTTTCGACGGCTTTAACAGCCCTTTGACCATGAGTAGTAGAGGGATTTATCTGGAAGTCCGTTTCATGGGGAGAGGTCCTCAGGGACTAGGACTTGCGATTCTTCATTGCAAAGAAAGAAGTGGAGGAGACAAATTGATTGCCATCTACATAAGAGATCTATTTTTGACGATGGAAAAGTTCTCGAGAGTTTGGAGTGAGGATTTCGAAATGTTTGATCGAAGAAGATTCAGGTTGTCACAGTATCCTATAAGAAGGATATGTATCCAGACAGGGCGGCTGATATCGAAAACCCATCAGAATTGCGGTGGCATTGCTCCGGATATTTATCCTGATGATGTACTCAAGGATTTGATGAGCTTCGATGAGCCAAAATCACTACTTCGTGCGGCAAAAAGAGGACTAGAGGAAGTTGTATGGTTGCTATTAACACGAAGTGATATGGAAGTCAACCTTGAAGATAGTATTGGCCTGACTGCGTTAACGCATGCGGTACTAGGAGGATATACGGCAGTCGTTAGGATACTACTAGCTCGGAGCGATGTTAAGACTGACTTGAAGGATAAATATGGACTGACACCCCTTTGGTGGGCGGCTCGGATGAAGAACGATACTCTCGTCAAGGTACTGCTCAAATCAGGCAAAATCGATGTCGACTCGCGTAATGAGTGCGGCCAGACGCTGCTATCTTGGGCAATTAAGGAAGGACATGAAGCGACCATCAACATCCTACTTGATGAGGGCGCCGACCTAGAGTCTCGAGACAGCTATGGCCGGACGCCACTGTCATGGGCAGCCGAGAAAGGGCATAAAGCTTTTATCAACATGCTACTTGAAAAGGGCGCCGACCTAGAGTCTCGAGACAGTTATGGCAGGACACCGCTGTCGTGGGCGGCCAGAAAAGGGTGTGAAGCTGTTGTCAACATGCTACTTGAAAAGGGCGCCGACCTAGAGTCTCGAAACAGGTATGGCTGGACACCGCTGTCGCGGGCAGCTCATCATGAGAACAAGGCAGTGGCTGATTTGCTGCTCGAAAAAAGCACCGGCCTACAGTTGAACGGTAAACACTATGATCAAGAGCAACTGTTAGTGGCAGCAAAGTATGGACACGAGGAAATAGTTAGACCACTACTGAGGAAGAGTGAAGTCGACGTCAACTTTAAGGATATGAATGACCAGACGCCGCTGTTTTGGGCGGCATTTGGAGGTCATCTCATCATATTAGAGTGTCTGCTTCAAGCGAAGGCTGATGTTAATGCAGCACCAGTAAACTATAGTGGTGGGGGAACAGCACTACAGGCAGCAGCAGCAAGAGGCCATCTCGCCATTGTCGAGCGGCTACTTCAAGCGAAGGCTGATGTCAATGCAGCAGCAGTAAACTATAGTGGTGGGGGAACAGCACTGCAGGCAGCAGCAGCAGGAGGCCATCTCACTATCGTCGAGCGGCTACTTCAAGCGAAGGCTGATGTTAATGCAGCAGCAGTAAACTGTAGTGGTGGAAGAACAGCACTGCAGGCAGCAGCAGCAGGAGGCCATCTCGCCATCGTCGAGCGGCTACTTCAAGCGAAGGCTGATGTCAATGCAGCAGCAGTCTCAGAGAGCGGAAGAACAGCACTCCAGGCAGCCGCAGCAAGAGGCCATCTTGCTATCGTAGAGCGGCTACTTCAAAAGAGGGCTGATGTAAATGCTGCAGCAGCCAACCATAGTGGAAGAACAGCACTGCAGGCAGCCGCAGAAGGAGGCCATCTTGCGGTTGTCGAGCGGCTACTTCAAAAGTGGGCTGATGTAAATGCTGCAGCAGCCTACCATAGTGGAAGAACAGCACTGCAGGCAGCCGCAGAAGGAGGCCATCTCGCGGTTGTCGAGCGGCTACTTCAAAAGTGGGCTGATGTAAATGCTGCAGCAGCCAACCATGGTGGAAGAACAGCGCTGCAGGCAGCCGCAGAAGGAGGCCATCTTGCGGTTGTCGAGCGGCTGCTTCAAGAGGGGGCTAACATCCATGGAGGAGCAGCGAGATATAGTGGAAGAACAGTGCTGCAGGCAGCAGTAGTAGGAGGTCATCTTACTATCGTCGAGCGGTTGCTTCAAATACTTCAAGACAGGTTGGTCATTAATGCAGCAGCAACCAGAGGGAGTGGAAAAACAGCACCACAGGAAGCAGCAGCAAGAGGCCATCTTGCTATCGTCGACCGAATGCTTCGGGGGAAGATTCTTGCTAATGGAGCACTACGAGCAGCCGCAGAGGGAGGCCATCTCACTGTAGTCGAGCGGTTGCTTCAAGAGAAGACCTATCCCATTACAGAAACAGCACTGCAGGCAGCCGTAGAAGGAGGCCATCTCGCAATAGTAGATCACCTTTGGAGGAAGAGCACTGTATAGGATGGCACAAAGTCTTTTCGTGTATTATCAATGAATTTACCATATTAAAGTCGCCAATTTTTAGCTTGAAAACATTGCACGGATACCTTGCTAATGAAGACAAGTGAGGCGGCTGACTTGTACTAGTTCTAACTAACCTAACGCGTTTTACAAGCGAGTCGGACACCCCACCAACTTTTGTCAGATTATGGGTATAACTAGTTCATAGAGGTAGATGAATGGAAAGGTGCAAAAAAAGAGAAAAAAATAAGCTCTCCAGCGGGGAATTGAACCCCGGTCTCCCGCGAGTTGCCAGTCATGGTGACAAGCGGAAATACTGACCACTATACTACTGAAGATTGATGGAAGAAAGGTCTCAAAAAAACAATATATACTAGATAATAGCCACGACGTGTTGAAATGACCAATACAGTCGCAACAATCTCATCAAACCACAACGCGTACTTAAGCGCGTATTCGATGATGTAAAATTCTTCATCGCAGCTTAGACTCGAAACTTTTTCCAGCACCTAACGCAACATAAAGCGTTAGCACTGGTGAGATGTGCCTTGTATCATAGTATGATCTCGTAGCCCTATTAACAACAAGATTTCTAGCTGCTATTCAATCCTACTGTATCCCGCTCATCGTCGTGATCTGGTCCGTATCAGTCTTTACGAGCATCAGTAGTGCTGCTGATGACTGGAACTTCGTCTTGTGTCTCGTATTCACGCACGCTTGCATTACCCTCATCCTTCATGATAAGATTCTATTCGTCACTGGAACAGACAAACGAGTTTCCCTGCAAGTAAACATATCCAGCATGGTCCAAAGTTGATTACATATACTTTGATGCATCTATTCCTGCAATCATACACTCGGAACTATATACAGCGCCTGTTCCAAAACCTACTCGCTCCCACGCTAGTCCTTCACACTCACACCAGCTTTACTGGCATCCTTAGCACTCTGTTTCTGCGTCTTTGGCACATCCGCTTCCTCTTCCTCTGAGGTCTCTTCCTCTTCATCGCTTTCTTCTTCCTCTGAACTCTCTTCTGTTTCGTCTTCCTTAGCCTGTGTAGCTGCTTTCCCTTTTGCAGCCAACGGTGCAGGTTTCTTCTCATCCTCGCTGTCCTCCTCTTCACTGTCTTCTTCCTCTTCGTCGCTATCTTCCTCTTCTTCGCTGCTCTCTTCCGCAGCTACAGTCGCTTTCTTCTCTATTTTCCCTGGGACCTTGGCTGCAGTAGCTGGCTCCTTCGCATCAGCTTCCTCCTCAGAACTCTCCTCCTCGGATTCTTCTTCTTCGCTTTCTTCGTCCTTTGTCGAATCTATCGGTCCAGCACTAAGCGCAGGGTTCTTCGCATCGTCGTGCATCGAGGAGGGCCCATGTACAGGCTTCTGCAGATCCGAAAGCTTGGGGATACTCGGTTGCGCAGCTGCTTTTGTACCCTTCGTGCTCTTTGATTTTGCATCTTTACTCTTTGTGTCTTTGCTACTTGAGGATTTCGATTTTGACTTTGCTGGAGCTTTTCCCAAGCCAAAGAGACCTCCCGTGGGTTTTCTCGTTGACTTGGACTTTGCATCTTTTGAGGATGTGGGTTTTGCTTTGGTATTTTTTGTCTTGCTGTCCTTTGCTTTTGCATCTTTTGCCTTTGCGTCTTTTCCTCTTACGTCCTTTGCTTTGGTGTCTTTGTTCGTGCTCGGTGCAGCAGCCTTCGCGTCTTTGGTCGACGTACTCGAGGTAGCAGGCTTGGCTTCTGTTTTGGTAGTGGAGACAGCAGGCTTTGTGTCTTGAGTCGCGGTCGGTGTAGCAGGCGTTGCAAGCTTCGGCGTCTCAGGTAGTGGGACAGACTTCGGCGAGAGGATGCTACCAGGGTCTTCTTTTGTGGGGCTCTTTTTCGACGTCGCTGAGGTGGGTGTGTTCGTCTTCTCTGCCAGCAGGGGGTTTGTAGTTTTGATGTTACTTGGCACGGGCTTCAACGAAGCGGCCTTCTTCGCGGCTTCAGCACCTAGCTCCCGGAGCGCCAGGTTTGTCTCCAGACTAGGTGTGACAACATTCTCCTTCTTTGCAGCTGTGCTTATGGATGAGAAGGAAGAGGTGGTGGTAGCTGGTGCAGCCATAGGCGGGGGCCCGGGTTTCGCAGGGAAGGGCGTGAAGGCTGATGTGACGCCCAACGCTTCTCGGATCTCATCGTATTCGTTCCATTCTTCGATCTCTGTAATGCCCTATATTACATAGATTAGCCTTCCCGTCCTAGCTACGTGCCGCGTTCTGTACCTACACCCAAGACATATCCTTCTTTGACTATCAGAGGGAGCTTCTTTCCGCTCGCTCTCCGCTGGAATAGCTTCTTTGCGAGCTCATCAGTCGCAGTATCTACTCCTTTGAACGGGATCTTGTTCGCTCGTAGGATTGTTTCAATTCGCGAGGTAGCTGTGACGATGTGGGAGGAGCCGGCGGTCAGGGAGGTGAACAGGTAGATGGTCGGATCGTTATCATAAACACTTGGAGACACGGAGTCAGTGTATGTCTCACATGCATTTCGTAGTCACAACTCACCTGAGCTCCGCCATGATGGGGACAGCGAAAACAAGCTCGGTGGGGGATGGGCAGGTTCGTGATCGGGGATGTTTTAACGGCAGAAACAGAGAAGTCAAGACAACAAACACGTATATATTGACGAGGGGTTTATAGAGCTAGACACGACGTGTTGCGACGTAGTTTCACCAACACTCAAGTTACAGGCTGACGCACGGACTGGACCCTGCTTCTGCGCTCCCTAGCGCAGGAGCAGGGGGGTCTTAGATAGTGGGCAATCGCTACATCAACATTTAACAGCGTGTTATGACTGTGTTCGCTTACTAACATTCTGTCCAACGCCACTACAACACTATTGCAACACTTTGATTAACACAACATGGCGATATCCCTATGGGCAAACCCTCACCTCGCGCGCTACGGCAGTGCCAATCATGATAGAGACGTGAGGTCAACGTGCTTATATTATTGCTTATACCGAGCGAGTGACATTACATATTATCAGAAAAAAGACATAACTAGTACTTCGTTTCTCTTGACTAGACATTATGCGGGCGTAGGATCATTCGAGAATTTGCCAGCAAGAACAGTCATCATGGCGTCGCTGACTTCAAACTCCTCAAGGACTGCGCCAAAGCTAGCCGATGTCAGTAAACACTCTGGTTCAATCGTCTGCCTTGTTTTCGACGTACCCGTAGCAGCGGACTTTGGCAAGGAGCTCTGTCTTCATGAGCTCAATGTCTTGCTTGGAAAGATCCCGAATGTTCTCGTCTTGTAGGATCTTCGCCCAAGCCATAATGGGCGTGATCTCCCCATCAAGGGGCAGACGGTTGCTCAAATCGAGCAGCTTCATCAAGTCCGGCATCTTGACGTCCGGCATCTGATGTGGATACTTCTCCTCGGGGCAATTTGCGATATGCGCGTCGGGAGGGGCGGTGGCCATGAGCGCATGACCACTAATGTTTTCGTCGGCGTCGTGGGCGCGTACCATTAAAAACTGCATGTGATCCATGCAAGGTCGCTCGAGCCTGTCAGACGCAATCGTCAGAACAGCGCGTGTAAAGATAAAGAATAACGTACGGAAGTCGAACAGAACGAAGAGAAAAGACGCAAGCGCATTACTGCTGGGGTGGAGGAGAAAGGTAGGGCGATCGGTCGTACGTTAAAACGAAGTCTATCCCAATCTGGTCATAGTCGAGCCCATGCTGCTGTTGATGATGTAACTGTTGGGCTTGTTGTTGCAGAGTCAAGGGCTGGCCACTCATGCCATCATGAGAAACTGATCCGTGTGTTGGTGGTGATGTGTAGCCAGTCGACGCTGATCCTGGCCCGTAGCCTGATACGCTACCCGTAGAACTTCCATAGGCAGAGCTATCAACTCGACCCATGCCGTTGCTTGCTGGGCTGGAAGTGTCGAAGGAGATTCCATGCGCCATAAGCAATTCTCTCAGTCGCCGGTTCTCTTCTGCGAAAGCGTCTCGTTCCCGAGACGTAGCGGCGAACGTGTCCTTGAGACGTATCACCTCCTGTTCAAGAGCTTTGATATACAGCTCTTTTCTTTCCCGGTGTGTTCTTGTCTATGGGTCAGTGTGTGATATCGCGCGTAGCATTCCTGAGTTTACCTTTGTGCCTGGCGGTTCAACTCCTGTCGCCGTGTCAAGGCAGGTTTGCTGTCCGGTTTAGGTCCTCTTCTCTTTGGCGGTTGGCCATCTTGCAAGAGTCAGTAACCGATAGAGCCAAGACCATGGTCGACAAACCTCTCGTAGTCTTCTTGTCGGTCAGACTCTTGAAGAATCCAAATTGCGCTAAAGGACTTTTTGATTCGCTGCCTATAGATTGCCACTGCCCTGTACTCTCCATGTCCGACGCAAATCCAGCCAAGCTGCCTCTCCTGCTGCTGCTCATACTCATCTCAGAGAAACACTCGGAAGGTCGACGAGAAGCGGCAGGAGAAGGGTACTCGTTGGCAGCGCCGGGTGGAGGGTAGGTGGGCGCCATGGTCAGCACGTGCGCATCGGGCCAGGACATATAACGAGCATGCGACATGGTGTTTCGGTATTATGCGAAGGATTAAGAAAACAAAAAGAAATTAGGTATGTGTATGTGTGATAAGCTTGGACGGGAAGCGAAAGTAGTGCAGCCATGTATATGTAGTGTCTCCGGAGCCTTGTATCGACTGAGGCACACAAGAGTTCGCATGCTGGTTTCTCGTTCATGCGCCGTTATCAACGTCCGGCATGCAGGCGAGCCGTGAGGCACGTGTGTGCAACGTTCATGCCGACACCGGTAAAGCTTGCCTTGACGAGACTGGTCTTGTCTCTGCAGCACGTTTGCGGGAGTGGGGTGAAGACGCAAGAGTGCTTCAACAAGTGCGGACCAATAGTGGAGAGCGTCTCCGCGTGCCAAGAACAAGGTGTAGGAGTCGCGAAGCGGAGACAAAACAGATCCAACGTCAAAACACCGAGGGATTAAAGCACTGTATAATGCCAAGAGAGAGCCAACATACCACTGCTATTGTTGTGATAATTCGCGTCCCCAGAGGAGGGGTCGGTCTTGATAGTCGTAGCCATGCTATGTGAGCTGCATTGATCAACACGCACACTTTATGGACAAAACGGTTGTCTCTTTCGGCGCTGAGTTGGCGGATGGGCCGGCCGTGGAAATACAGTGAGCAACACGCTAGAGATTGGTCAGTTTACAAGTCAACGTTGAACCCTTGCGCACATCCGAAACGTACAGCTGTCTGTATCGTCGGCGCTCAACTATGACGACTAGACAGGCCGCAGTGAGCCGCGTCTTCGTGGTGGATTGACCGAGCAAGAAGAGTTGAGGCTTACATCAGGTTCTCACTGTTGCCGAGGTTCAGTTCCTGGTGCTTCCGAGTTGAGCGAAAGGGCGATGACGGGGAGATGGACGTAATGGGCGACGAGTGGTCGACGCAATTGAGACAAGCGATGGTGCTCTTGGCGTCGCAGAGTCGGATGTAGCACAGCAGAGGGCAAGCTGGTCTGAAGGATGTGTCAGGGATAACTCTTACACTTGCAGTGCGATGTTCAACGCGATTTAGTAGCAAGCCAGGCACGAAATAATGCACTACGCACTGGAAGATCGTCGGCGGGAACACAGCCCAAGCTAACGATTTGGAATCTGCGCGACTCCGGGCCTGGAGGTTGGAAGATGAGGCGGTCAGTGCACAAGATCGAGCCGAACAGCTTTTGGGTCAATCAGAGCCAGGGCGCGGAAGCAGCTTGAGATCCGCTGGTGTTTAGCGGCTCGAGTCTGCGGCTCTGCACCTCGTCCGGTCTAGAGCTTGCAGACGGCTGACGGTGCAGTGGCGCGATGCGATACGTAATATCCCAGCTTCACAGTGCAAAAAGAAAGGGTCGGTACGCAAAACCCGGCGGCTTTCGTGTCATGTACTTTGTTGAAGGCCTGCCGTAGCCACTCCTGGCAGACCTCGACCCCGACAAGTCTCGGGGGGACATCTCTTCCTGTGGCGAGTGTATCGTCCTCTACCACACTTCTTTGTGTAACATGCATCCACTTAGAGAAGCGTTATCCTTCCCCGTACGGTCACGTTGTGCAGTACGTAGAGCTGCCGCCGCAGCCCAATCGCCACATTTTCGCAAACCGACCTCCTACGCCATAGCGCGTCTATAGCACTCAGCTCGACGCATAAGATTAGAAAGCAGTTAGAAAGCAAATCATGGACCCCTAATACGCTCGACATAACTGAGGCTGTCGATTTAACTTCCATTACACTACATAAGCTACTCTAGATCGGTTGGGTACGCTGCGGGCTTTGACCAGGCCTTACAGCCGTATCGGAGGACCTTACGGCTTGTTGTCGAGGATCTTCTCAATCTCCTCCATGAGCTCCGGTGTCAACTTGTCGAGCAACTTGATAGCGCCACAGTTGTCCTTGACCTGTTCGGGCTTCGTCGCACCAAGAATGACTGTAGACACATTCGGGTTTTTGGCTGCCCAAGCAAGAGCAAGCTGAGTAGTGGTACCTCCTAGCTTTTCCGCAATCTTGGTTAGCTCCTTGACCTTCTTGATCTTAGCCTGTCCCTCTTCACTCTTCAGCGCCTCGATTGAGTTCTTGAAGAATTCGGGGTTCGTGGCGAAGCGAGAGTCCTCAGGAATACCGTCATTGTATTTACCAGTCAGCATGCCTGACGCCTAGAGATTGGTACATGAAGTCAGTAAATGTGTCGCATGCGGTTCATGTAGGGTTATTGTTTACCAAAGGTGACCAGATGGTCGTTCCGTATTGGTACTTCTTGTACAAGGGTGCATATTCCTTCTCGAAACGCTCACGGTGGAAGGCGTTGTACTGGGGCTGCTCGACGATAGGGGCGATAAGGTTGTACTTCTCGGCAATGTCACATGCCTCCTGGATCTGCTCTGCAGACCACTCGGAAGTTCCCCAGTAGTATGCCAGGTTCATCTGAATAGTCTGGGTGAAAGCTTCGACAATCTCCTTCATCCCGACGCTAGAGATACATCAGCTCGCAATCGAAGAAAATGACTGGATTGTTGCATACTCAGGATCGTAGCGGTGAGCAAAGACAACGTCAACGTAAGAGTGATCAAGACGCTTCAACGAGCTCTTCAAGCCCTCAACGATGTGCTTCTTGGATAGACCCCTACATGTCCATTAGTCAAGTAAAGGTATGTAAAGCATATGTCTTACCTAGTGTTCGGCTCCTTCCTCTGGGTTCCAAAGAAGACCTTCCCAATGTTGTTAGCCTAGATTCATCGCATTTCGACACTAAGCACATCTTACCTTTGTGGACAAGACATACTCGTCGCGCGGCCATTGCAGCTCCTTGAAAGCCTTTCCCATTTCAAGTTCGCATTCGCCAGCTGCGTAGACCTCTGCAGTGTCAAAGAAGTTGATGCCATGGTTCCATGCTTCTTGCATGCAGTCCTTCACGATGGAACCTTTTTGGGTTCCTCCGTACGTCAACCAACCTCCAAGGCTCAGAACCGATACCTTCAACCCAGCGGGTCCCAGGCGACGGAACTGCATGCTAGATTTACATCAGCCAATGCTCGAAGGAAACGGATATAAAGATACAGAGCTTCAGGCTGCAGATTGAGGATAATCTACTCGACCAGCCAAACTCATCTGCATCGTAACAATTGACATGCAACTCACTCCTTGGGGTCAAACTTAGTCTCGACGGCAGGCATTTTGAATATGAGGAATGATCTGATAAAAGTGAAGTTTAGTTGGATAAGATTTCAATCGCTGGAATAGAGTGCAATGAGGGGCAGGATGTATCCAAGCAACTTGGTGGGGCAATCCTGCCGTGGTGGCGGATCAACACCAATGATGTCAATCATTGCAAATGTGGCAGGCGGGATCGGAGTTAGCCTACAAATTCCGTATTAGCGGCACTTGCAGCTGCTGGAAGGCGGTAGAATAGCCGTAGGCCTCGGAAACGCGACTGATGGTTTGGGGGACTTGTGCTCCCTATAGACTAAGCGCTGGAGCGGCGCAAATGTCCCCTTTGCTGACGGCTTTTAAAGTGGGGCGGCTGCGGCTGAGGAGCTGCCTGACACAAGAGCATAAGCATGCAACAGCATCCTTCCGTCAGCGGCCAGCCACGAGAGATCATCTCGCCTGCATCGAGTGCTTTGTGCCACAGAATTCGCCTTATAATCTTGTTGTAGTGGTACTAGAAGCGGGTATAACTTCTGTCGGTCGGTATTGGCAAAAGCTTGACCTCCCTCGTTTCACGTTTCGAAACACCCCCGGCCGGTCATTGACGCACACCCAATCACAGTCGCACAACGCGCATTCACGTGCATTGTTCGTCACCTCGACAAGCAATGATTGGCAGTGACTTCTCATTGATCTGGTGCCATTGTAGGACAGGGTCCTGACTATCATGCTGACGGGCTGTTCGAAGGGAGGCCTTGAGGCGCACCGTCTATATCTTGGCCGTTCCCCTTCCTCCACTACACTGCCTCCTCACGGTCTCTCAATCCCTTATTTAGATCACTTGTTTCTGCTGGGCTGAAGCGTATTCAATTCAAAGTCACTCATTTATAAGACACTGTCCCCACCGTTCACTTCAACAGAACATCAGAATTCAAGAGTTCACGAGTGTCCCTTTGTACTTAAGGCCTCCTCACCCTGAACCAGAATACCTTCTAGAATCCCAACAACTCAGCCTCGTCAGTCGACCTCTACACTAGAGCATCACAATCCACCAACCTATAAACAACATGGGTTTCAAGAAGAACATCCTCTTTGCAGGTGCCTTTGCACTCTGCGCCTTTGCGGCACCTATTCCTGACTGCCCCGACGACGTCCCAGAGACAGATGCAACAGAGTTGACCGCAGCCAACTTGATCGCCATCGCACCCGCCACCCAATCCTGCGCCGGTGCGGATTTCCCCGATGAATGTGCCGATGCGACACAAGCTGCTACCGCTCTCAACAAGGCTTTCGATACTTACAAGATCACCGCCAAGGGCGAGAAGGCTGCCATAGTCGCCTATGAGATTTTCGAGAGCGGTGACTTCAAGTACAAGAAGAACCATTTCCCAGGCCGACCTGGTCAAGGCACGAGGAGTAAGCAAAACTGTCAGGTGGATCGCACGTGGAACACGAACTGACTTTACACCCGTTTAGTGATGGCGATGCCACCGTTTGTCGAGAAGTACGCTATCGATGTCGCCGGCGCAGACGCTGTGACCCAAGCAAAAGCTGCAGGAGAAAACGCCGGTTTGGAGGCAGTACTTGCTCTGGTCAACAGCGACGATGAAAAGAGCTTTGGAAGTGCAGCGTGGTTCGTTACCACCCAGTGCAGTGCAGACGTTCGGGCTGGTCTTGTCGAAGGCACTGTAGATGGCTGGCACAAGTTCTTGACTGACTGTGTTGGCACATCGCTTGATCCTACGCGTGACACTCCTTGGACTGCTGCCACAGCTACCATCCAGTAAGGGTATTAGGACACGTTCAAACGCTGGTTTGGTACATG